GCCTGCGTTGACTATTTGACTTGCTCCTCTTCTTAACTGTACCTCAGACTTATCTCTTTTCTCACTAGCTCTTTGGGGACTCTACCCCCACCTTGCTAGTTTAAAGCCTCCCTCGTAGCACTCGCCAATCTCCCTGCCAGGTTCCCTTCTAATTCAGGTACAAACTGTCCTTCTCTTACCAGGTTGCTTCTACCCCAGAAGATATTCCCATGATCCAAAAATATGGATCCCTGCCCCCTGCACCAGCTCCTTAGCCACATATTCATCTGCTCTAAACAATAAATATCAACATTCCATTTGCCTTCCCAATCACTTGCAACGCCTGTACACTAAATATAAGCACAAATTCCTTTCTATCATTAAGTCGTACAAATATTTAAATATGTATATTTAAATATTTTGTCACTTTTCTATTCTGCCTGACGAAAACAGACAAGTTCACATGACCCACATTATGCCTGATCTGGCAAATTTTTGTCCACTTGTTAAACATATCTGTACCCCTTTGTAAATTCTCTACCTCCTCTTACCCAACTTGCTGTCCTCCCTTACTTGGTGTCGTCAGTAAAATTAGCATTTATAAATTCATTCATCATTTTCTAAGGTTTTGGAGTAGATCTGTAGCTCGGGTTGTGGGTGTTGAGGTTGGTTGGCTCGCCGAGCTGGTATGTTGTTTTGCAGACGTTTCGTTACCATGCTTGGTAACATCCTCAGTGCAGCCTCCAGTAAAGCATCGGTGTGTTTTCCCGCCTGGTTTTTAAACTCTGCGGTCCGTTGAGATGGATTGCCTCACTTCCGGTTTTCCTTCGTAGTGGAATGTGTATGGGGTCGAGTTCAATGTGTTTATTAATAGCATGCTTCGTGGAGTGCCATGCTTCCAGGAATTCTCGTGCTTGTCTCTGCCTAGCCTGTCCCAGGATCTCGATGTTGTCCCAGTCGAAGTCGTGGTTCTCCTTGTCCATGTGGATTGAGATGAGTGAGTATTGGTCGTGTCTTTTTGTAGCCAGTTGGTGTTCATGTACTCTTGTTGTTAGTTTCCTTCCTGTTTGGTACTCTTGTTGTTAGTTTCCTTCCTGTTTGGACAAACAGGAAGGAAACTAACAACAAGAGTACATGAACACCAAGAGTACAAAAAGACACGACCAATACTCACTCATCTCAATCCACATGGACAAGGAGAACCACGACTTCTACTGGGACAACACTGAGATCCTGGGACAGGCTAGGCAGAGACAAGCACGAGAATTCCTGGAAGCATGGCACTCCACGAAGCATGCTATTAATAAACACATTGAAATCGACTCCATATACATTCCACTACGAAGGAAAACCGGAAGTGAGGCAATCCGTCTCCACGGACTCCAGAGTTTAAAAACCAGGCAGGAAAACACATCGACGCTTCACCTGAGGCTGCACTGAGGAAGTTACCAAGCGTGGTAACAAAACGTCTGCAAAACAACAAACCAGCTCGGCGAGCCAACCAACCTCAACATTCATCATTTTTTCCACCTCATCAAAATCATCGATATAGATTGTAAATATTTAAGATTCCAACAGTTACTCATGTAGCTATCCACTTGTTACAGCCTACAAATGTGAAAAATCACCCATTTAACCCTTTCTGTTCATTAACCTATCTTTATAAAGCTAATGTTATCCCCAGCATCATGTGCTGTTATACTGTGCATGTGGCACCTCATCAAGTACGTCTTAGAAATCCAAATGTACATATTGACAGAGAATGCTGGAGAAATTCAGCATGTCTGGCAACGTCTGTGAAAAGAGAAACAAAGTTAACATTTCAAGTCTCATAACTCTTCAGAATTTCAAGTTTCATTTGCACAGAAGAGTCGTGAGTCTCCATAATCTCTGGAGATACCTTGTTGGGTTTTTTTTTTGGAAACTTTGAGTGAAAAGGCATGATCACTTTGTTTTTAAGGAAGGCACTTATTGGAAACCATATGGTTTCAGGTAATTCCTTGCTAGCGGTCACCTGACTGGGTTTAATGGCTGTTTTCTTTGAATATTGTTTTGCATACGGGTGGCAGATTTTGATTCTCAGTTGAATCTAGTGTGAAACCTTGTTGTCTTCTTGAGGACCAATTGGAAGATACCTTGATACTCTTTCTTGAGCAAGCTATGTTTGTCAAGACTCTATAGATAAATACGTTGTCTGCTGATTTGTCTCTATATTCCACAAAGTGAGATTAATAGCCATTTGAACCTTCCACACCTTATCCTTTTCTATCCTTTAAGGACCAAATACTATTAGCCAAAAGTGTTTTTAACCAATATGAACCTTTAGATTTTTTTCCCTCTTTACCTGTTGTTTGTGTATGGGATCTGTGTAATTTAAAGAGGTAAACATTTATATTTTCATCTTCCAACTGTGGATGTTACCCATTTCTGCACGTTCGTGAAGAAACTTCTGTTTGGGAATAAATTAATTATTTTGTCTTTCTTAGACAAACCTGGCTGATAGAACTTCTTATCCTAAGTCTATTAAAGAAAAAACATATGATTGATATCAGCAACTGGGTAAAAACAATTTAATTCATGTTGTGATCTGTGGAGTTGTGGAAACAGAGAAAAACAATGCTTTTCTCCTATCTTGGTTACAACACGTGAGTGAGAAGGTGAGAATTAGAGCAGCAGAGATGAAGAAATGAAGGGGATATATAAGAGGATGACAAAAAGGAGTAGGAAAGATCAGAATGGATGTTAATTTTCTGAGAAGAGAAAAAATAGACAACAGATTGAAAATGAAGAGGTAATTGGAAATATCGACACCAGTGCACAGTTCATTAGCAGACAGGTATAAGATGATGTTGGCAATACTGTGGAGTCTGTGTGCAGACATACTAACATCTAGGAATTGTGGTGACAAGGCTTGTGATCACTGCACAATATAAGCCACTTTGGAACACCGTTCCCCTATCTTTTTCAGGTATCAGATTTAGCTGAACTATCTAAACTGGGTCAAATCAATTTACATGCTTTTAAACTTTCATTTTTAGTTCACTGACATCCACCTAAAGTTCAGAAGTTTTCCAAAAGAAACTTGCACACATTAATGGATTCACTTCTTACAGCTGTCTAGCATGGGTTTGAATAGTGGTTTGAGACTAGGTAGAAAATACTTGTCTGAATTGTTTTACTTTGGCTGTGGTTGTGTCAGCATCATGATCAAACATACAAAATCACTTGATGGTTAAGAATGTGGTTAGCAATATGATAATAACAAGATACTCTGTTTTTTCTGATGTTGATACATATTGGGTAGAACACCAATGATAACTTCTTGCTGTTATTCAAAATAGCACCATGGCATCTATCACATATGCCTGAGTGGGCGGGTGAGGCCTCAATTTATAATATGATTCAAGAAATAGCATCTCAACAGTGCAGTACACCCGGGTGTGAGCTTCCATTTTTATTTCCCAAGCCCTGGATTGGAATTGAATCTGGAACCTCTGGTTCAGATTTAAGAGTGATCGTGACTGAACCATGCTGAATATCTGTGCCCTCATTGGTAATCAGCCAAAGTACATCAATTTGAATCAAACAGATAAAAGGGCACAAGAAGCACATCTGAGAGACTGAGAGAAAAGCAAGAACAAATGAGAAAGGGAGAGGAAGTAAGAAGTACCATGGTAGAACTCAAGCAGAGACTTGGAAGGAAAGGAAGTGGAAATTAAACACTGTTATGAGGGAGAAAAAGAAAAGTAAAGTGAAGGAAGATGACAAATCTAAGTTCCGGCAAAGCTTTTCTCTCATGCAAAGAATTACCAAATTATTTCCAATATCTGAACTGTCACTATTCAAAGAATTACTTACTTCGACTTCATCCACTGCACTGTGACACTGTCCCATCAGATCACTGAATTATTACGAATGGCTTAGCAGAATGAGACACTTAAAGTTACCTTTCTGATCTCCCATATTTTTTGCAAAGATATTTTAAGTGTGAAATAATCTTCCATTTTTTGAGCAGGTCAATTTGCCAACTGTTTGGTGTTGAACTTCGACAACCAACCATTTTATATCAAGAAAACACTGCTGAATCCAATTTTTCAAGATCTCTGCTCGTTTTTTTATTCAATTTAAAAAAAAATGTAATGCCAAAATGGAAATTCAAGCAATCTATTATTTGTTGCATCTGCAGAGGGAGCGTAGCAGGTTATCAAAAGACCAGTCAATCATGAATTTTGTTTTGAAATACTGTTTAATTTACTTCTCATTTGTATGGGACTGTATCTCCATGATCCTTCTGAGTCTGAAGGGAATAAAGATCAGATATTTCTGTGTCATTTCAGATCTTCGTCTGGAGATTTTAAACTGCATTGTCAATTTCAGTGCAGTGTCTGATCTTGCTTATCAGCTTCGGGATACCTATACCTCACTGTCTGAGAACACAATTACGAGAAGCAAATTGTAATAACATGCATTTTTATTGTGTTTCTCGTCTCAGCTGTGCACCTCTCATCCATTGGCCTGTTCATGCTCAGTTAACCTACAGAGGGAGCATCTGAATCCATCCAAGGTCCATTTCAGAACTAATCAAAGGAAGAGTACCTGTTTGGTGTATTATCATTCAGTTGAGAAAGTCCTTTGCTTTAATTAAGTGATTGCACAGTTTAATCGGGCCACTAATTATGGTTTAGAATATCTTTAAAGGGTAACACTTGTATCAGGTTGTTCTAGGATCACGCGATGGCAGCTCTATTGGCTCACTGCAGTTGGCATAAATGCAGAAAGAAATCAAAGTGCAATGTAATAAGCAGGAAAAGGATAGAGTAAGTACTGAGAGTAGGGAAGGAGAGAGGCTTTAGGTCAAAACTTTGACCTCGACCAAGAGGGGTAGTGAGATGGTATTTGAATACTTCCTTTGCTAATGTCACCAAACAGCAATGCCAGACACTCGATGCCAATACAGTGTGATATTATATCACATGCTCCAGTGACCTAGCTTGAACAACTGTGCAGATTGTTGGTCTTACCTACACACGTGGTCCGTCTTGCAGGTCTGATGCAGTGCCAAGCAGTTTAGCTTCTCCTTGTCTTCATATGAGCAGGTGGGTACAATGGTTTGGCGGCGCCTCTCGGCACAGGCTGGGTCGTTACAGGAGCAGAAGAGCAATCGATAGCTGTACTCTGCGGGCACACGGTCGAAAAACTGCCTCAGTGACTTGTGGCATTTTCGGCGACTGCAGGTATCAGAGGTGGAGGTGCGCTTGACACAAGTGGAGATGTACATGGAGCGGTACCTTTTACAGGTGTCGTTCAGGTTGCAAGCCTTGGCTGCATCCAAACATTGGTTTCCTTGAGCTCCAGTGGGTTCCAACCCTACAAACACAATGTTAGAGAGGGAAGGAAGAATATAACTGTATTTAATCAGGGGTTTGTGCTGGGAATCAAAACAGACCCAAGTAGCAGGTTAGACATATGCAATCTGAAAATAATTGCCCCCAATTGAACATGTAACACTGCAAAAGAAAATAGACACACTCTCCCTCTTCTTGTGCTACCCAAGATGCGTCAACAAGATTGAAAATCTCAAATTTGGATGCCAAGATGCCAAGTGCTGAATGACTTGATGACAATAAAATTTAAATTAGTTGGTGTGTCTAAACTTCTGTCAGGGAGCTGCAAGGTCCTGAAGGCTAAAATAGCTTGATGCTTTTTACCTTTACATAGATTGCCCTGACCTAAATCTTTTCACAGTATTTACAGCACAGAAACAAGCTGTTTCGCTCAATCATTTCTTGTTGGCATTTGCACTCCACTCAAATCTCCTCCCATTCTTCCTCCCACAGCACGGTGTCCTTCTGTTCCTTTCTCCATCATGTGCTTATGTAACATCATCTTTAATGCATTGACACTGTTCATTTCAGCCACTGTCTGTGGTAATTCCACATTCTCAGCACCTACTGAGTCCAGATGTTTTTCCTGAATTCTCTATTGTATTTATTTCTCATTATCTATTCTGGTGGCCTCTAGTTTTCCTCTTCCCCACAACTGAAAACTCTATCTCTATTGAAATTTGATCAAAACCTGCCATCATTTTTTGAGATCTTCATTTCATTACCACTCAGCTATCATATTTTAAGAGAAATGAGACCCAGCCTATGCAACTCTCATTTATCTCCCACTTTTGGAGTCCTTCCTCTTAATCTTTGTTCGTCTTCTCAAGCCCCTCTCTATCTTTATTCTACGTGTGGTTTAACCAAGACTCAGTGCAAGCTTGGCATGACTTCTCCATTTTTAAAATTAATTCATTGAGAAATAATTGCTTTGAATGTTGTGGATTTGAAGCTTTGAAAAGGGCCCTTCCTTGCTATTGCCTTGCTTGTGAAGAGATGACATCATAATCAAAATACCACAATCTGTCAGTGTTCCCACTTGAGATACCTGGAAATTAAATCTGCAGGGACAGAGACTTGATGGCAGTTTGAGTACAAAGGCAAAATTTCATATTTGCTGCAGTAACCATTTTCTGAAGAGCAATAATTGCTGGCCAGCCAGCAGCACCCACATCCCACAGGTGAATAAAACCTATCAAACTGCATGACCAGGAGCTATGCATTGCTTATTCAGCCCTCTAGCTATTCTGCCCATTGAATCAAATCATGGCAGATCTCTATCTCAACCCCATTTTCCTGTCTTAGTTCCAGATCTCTCAATATCCTTATTGAACAAAAATCGATCAGGCTAAGTCTCACATTTGCCTGACGCCTGCATAGCTTCCTGGGGGAGCAGGGGTTCCAGCTTTTCACTGTCTTTTGTCTTGCTTCCTGATATCACTCCTGAATGGCTTGGCTCTAGTTTTAAAATTATGCCCTATAATACTGGATGCCACAACAACAGAAGTAGAATCACGACCTATCCTAACAAATTTTTCTATCATTTGAAACATCTCCGTAAATTGCTCCTCGGTATTAAATATAAGACTATAAAACCATGTTTCTGCATGCTGACCTCATAATTTAATCTTTCGTCGGTCCATTATCACTTTGATTGCATATGTACAACATCTTTAATGCATACAGAATGGAATACACTTGATTGTTCTCAAAGCCAGTGAGTCTTTCATGCTGAGTTACACCTGGGCATGGGATACCGACACCAGATTCCAATGTTGTGGCCACTGCTGGATCTCCTGGCACATGGCCTGATGGTTTGTGACATGTAGGAATTTTGGGGGATATGGCAGAAGATCCACACACAGAGTGTGAAACTTGCCAGATTTTTTCTTTTGTTAACCAGTCCTTCATCACTGAACAGAAATAAAGGCCAAATTTTACAAATCTCTTCAAACTCAGAGACATGTCATTTCCTTGGACAGGCCTCTGTCTATAATCCTGAATGCAGTGGGAGAGAGGACATCCAGGCACTGAAGAATCTGGTCAAATTTGTCCTGAATCATCATTTGAACAATTCCATTAGCTATGCTGTTACCATTGACAGCTGCACTTACAAAGAAGTCAGATCTCCAGTTAAAATAAAATCTTCAGAGACAATTGTTCGTTGAATTAATAGGGCCATGCCCTGACCCTCCTTCCCAGACTCAGATAGCACAACTGTAAACATACAAATGCTGGAAATCTACGGGTTTTATGGACCTGACCAAACCCCCTCAAAATACATCGAAATACCCTAATCTGAACTTTTATTCAGAGGTGAGTATATGGCACTGTGTTCCAGATATGATTTGATTGGTCAAACTACTAGACTTTGAGCCAAACACACTTTATTCTTCCACCTCAGTTCAAATACAAACAAAAATAAAGAAGAATTGGCATAACTTTAACTCTTCCAAAATACTTCACAAAACAGTATTTTATTTAACTACAACTCATCACCTGTTCCAAGGTAGCAGCATCCCATAAACACATCCTTGCCAAAGGCAAATTCGGAAAATAGATTTCTTTGCTATCCCCAGTCCAGGAGAAGGAACACCGATAGAATGAATCTAGCAACAGAGGGAGAACTCAAGCTTTTGCCGTACGTGAGAGAGAGCTATATCTAGCAGCTTCAACTCCAAAACCCCAACTTTAACAACTGAAAGCAAAACTAAAACCTGAGCCTGACTGCAACCACTCATGCTTTTGTCCAATTTTCAAAAAAGCCTGAAGATTATTTTGCTTTTCCTGGAACAGAAACCTTGGCACCAGATTTACAACACCCCCCTTTAAGAGAACAAGGACGGACAAATCCCTCTTAAAGGCACATAACATCCAGGGAAAATAAGCAGAAAACTCCAAAAATACACAGCGTCTGACCAATAAGGCTGGGACATTATTGTGCTTATCACTCTCCCAGCAGACACTCCATGGCCCTGAATGGTTTCCTTCTGTGTTGTAAATGACTGAGTGAGTCGTCGAGTTGCTGTGAATTAACTTGGTAAATACTGGAACCCTTTGTAGGAGAATTATTTGATTCCAAGTGAGCTGACCTCAGCTGTGGGATAGGTAGAGATTTGTAACTGGCCTTGTGGCTGACGAGAAGGACTGTAGAGGAAGGGGGAGGAAGGAGCCAGGATTCTCCATCTGATTGAACACTCCTGTTGGAATTGCACGTGCTGAGTTCAGGAACTCTACCAGCCATATTTGAATTCCTCTTGTCGTGATTTGAATTGTTTGCTGGCATTGAGGTTGACAGTGATGAAGAAGGAACAGATTGCTTCACATCAATTAATAACTTTTGCAAGTACAGTAGCTGTTGTGACATAGGTGACCAGTTTCTGCACATAAAGTGAGATGGATGATCAATTATCATAGTTGTTGTGACTTTTGGCTTGGACCAATGCTCATGGTTATTGGTTGTATCTACTCCAAGACTCCTTGCTCTTTATAAACAGAGGAGGCAATGGCCTAGTGGTATTATCTGCAGACTATTAATACAGAAATTCAGCTAATGTTCTGGGGATCTGGGTTTAAATACCACCATGGCAGGTGGTAGAATTTGAATTCAATAAAAAATAGAATCTGGAATTGAGAGTCTAATGAAGACCATGAAACCGTTGTTGATTGTCAGGAGAAACCCATATGGTTTACTAATATCCTTTAGGAAAGGAAATCTGCCATCCTTACCTGGTCTGGCCTGCATATGACTCCAAACCTACAGCAGTGTGGTTGACTCTTAACTGCCTTCTGGACAGTTAGGGATAGGCAATAAATGCAGACTGAACCACCGATGCCCTTATCCGATGAGTGAATTTTTTAAAAAGTACCACTGCATCATTTGCACACAGTGGAACATCTCCTTCAAAAGATGGTACCCCAAACTATGGTGCATTCCTTCAGTTAGTCACTGCAGCCTGCACTGCGCACTCATGTCCATGGAATTAAACTCACAAACTGTCCAGAATCTAAGACAGTTGTGTGCCTTGAACCCAGCCAGAACATCCGCGTGATGGCAAGTTTTTTTCCCCCAATAAGCGATTAAATTGGAGTTTCCCTCAGTAAGTTTGTCAGGTCAGCCACTTGAACTCATATGGTAGTCACACTTCAATAGTAACAGAAGACTAGGCATCAAGCACCTCAAGACTGGGCATTTCTGAGGCACTGTCAGCCATCATCAGCAACAGAATCATACTGAAACACAATCTGCAACCTCATAGCCTGGCATAAACCACACTCTACCATTCCCATCAAGTTAGGAGATCAACCCTGTTGAAATCTTTGATGTTAGTAAGGAAGATGTACTAGGAATTTTGAGGAACTTGAAGATAGTTAAGTCCCCCGGGCCTGATGGGATTTATCCAAGGATTTTATGGGAAGCGAGGGAAGAGATTGCAGGGCCTTTGGCGATGATCTTTTCATCCTCACTGTCCACAGGTATAGTGCCGGAAGATTGGAGAGAGGCAAAAATCATTCCCTTGTTCAAGAAAGGGAACAGGGATAACCATGGAAATTACAGGCCAGTTAGTCTTATGTCAGTGGTGGGCAATTTATTGGAAAGGGCTCTGAGAGACAGGATTTATGATCACTTGGAAAGGCACAGTTTGATTCGTGATAGTCAGCATGGATTTGTGAGGGGTAGATCATGCCTCACAAACCTTATTGAATTCTTTGAAGAGGTGACGAAACACATGGATGAAGATGGAGCAGTGGATGTGGTATACATGGATTTAAGTAAGGCATTTGATAAGGTTCCCCATGGTAGGCTCATGCAGAAGGTAAAGAGGCATGGGATAGGGGGAAATGTGGCAGATTGGATTCAGAATTGGCTGACCCTTAGAAGACAAAGGGTGGTAGTGGACGGAAAATATTCAACATGGTGCTCAGTTACGAGTGGTGTACCACAAGGATCTGTTCTGGGTCCTCTTCTATTTGTTATTTTTG